CACTGGTGAAAAACAAGGTTCTGGGAATTGATGGAATACCAATTGAGATGTTTCAACAAACGGATGCACCACTGGAAGTGCTCACTCGTCTATGCCAAGAGATTTAGAAGACATCTACCTGGTCAACTGACTGGAAGAGATCCATATTTATGCCTATTCCCAAGAAATGTGGTCCAACCAAATGCGGAAATGATCAAACCGTATCATTAATATCACATGCAAGCAAAATTTTGCTGAAGATCATTCAAAAGCAGCTGCAGTAGTATATCAACAGGGAACTGCCAGAAATTCAAGCTGGATTTAGAAGAGGACGTGGAACCGGGGATATCATTGCTGATATCAGATGGATCCTGGCTGAAAGCAGAGAATATCAGAAAGATGTTTACCTGTGTTTTACTGACGATGGAAAGGTCAATGGATCATAACAAATTATGGATAACATTGAAAGAATGGGAATTCCAGAACACTTAGTTGTGCTCATGAGGAACCTGTACATAGACCAAGAGGCAGTCGTTGGAACAGAACAAGGGGATACTGTGTGGTTTAAAATCAGGAAAGGTGTGTGTCAGGGTTGTATCCTTTCACCATACTTATTTAATCTGTATGGTGAGCAAATAATCTGAGAAGCTGGACTATATGAAGAAGAATGGGGCATCAGGATTGGAGGAAGACTCTTTAACAACTTGCGTTATGCAGATGCCACAATCTTGCTTGCTGAAAGTGAAGAGGACTTGAAGCACCCATGGAAACAGCAGTCAGGAAATCAAAAGAGGCATTGCACTGGGCAAATCTTTTGCAAAAGATCTCTTTAAAGTGTTGAAAAGCAAAGATGTCACCTTGAGGACTAAGGTGTGCCTAACCCAACCCATGGTGTTTTCAATCACCTCATACACTTGTGAAAGCTGGACAATGAATAAGGAAGACCAAAGAAGAATTGATGGCTTTGAATTGTGGTGTTGGAGAAGAATACTCGATTTACCATGGACAGCCGAAAGAACGAACAAATCTGTCTTGGAAAAAGTATAACCAGAACGCTCCTTAGAAGCAAGGATGGTGAGACTACATCTCACATACTTTGGACATGTTATCAGGAAGAATCAGTCCCTGGAGAAGGACATCATGCTTGGTAAAGTTGAGGGTCAGCAAAAAAGAGGAAGACCCTCAATGAGATGGATTGACACAGTGGCTGCAACAATGGGCTCAAGCATAGTAACAATTTTGAGGATGGCACAGGACCAAGGAGTGTTTTGTTCTGTTGTGATAAGGTCGCTGTAAGTCGGAACTGAGTCGATGGCACCTAACAACAATTACAACCAGTTTTATTTGATTACCTTTTTTTATTTCTTAAAGAACTCAATCATATGTCTCATTTCCCAACATTTCAAAAAATTGCTCAGGAAATAGGGCAAAAAACGTCTTCAAAGCATGCATTGTCAATGTTTTCTGTTAAAAAGACCAACAAAACAAAAAGTTGATTGTTACAGGTATACCCTGTTGTCATCAAGTCAATTCCAACTCATAGCAACCCTATAGGACAGAGTAGAACTGCCCCATAGGGTCTCCAAGGAGCAGCTGGCGGATTTGAAATGCCAACCTTTTGGTTAGCAGTTGTTGGTCTTAACCACTGCACTACCAGGGCTCCTTTTTACAGGAAGGGAATACTTAATGGGGTTATAGGATTCTAAAATAGAAAGGAATTTGAGATTAGTCTCCTTTGCTATTTCTGACACCTCAGTGCATAAGCCATGGCAGAGACTACATAGCCTTCCACTGGTCTGTCACAATCAGGTGATAGGCCATATTTCCAGGGTGACACAAACTCCCTCTGCATGCTAGTTAGAAGTTGTCGTGTGTACCTCTTCATTCTCAGCACAGTTTTTAATCCCCCACCCGCCACCCCCATGTTCATAGATTGAATATGGATCTGATGTTATGTGGCCACCTTGACATTCAGGCTTAGCATGGGGGACAGTTTTCTCTGGGAGTTTGTGAAAGAAAAAGTGTTTTAATCATGTCTAACAATAACAAAAATCTTAATCCTACCTCACATTTTAAGACCTAAAAAACACCTGTCAGATACTGTACAAACATCAACATTGAAGAGACTATCTAGAAAAATATGGAGGCAAACTAAAATGTGCCCAGAGAATGGAGGTGAACATACAGATAGTCTCCAGCCAGCATGCTTGGACTCTGAGTTTACCCAGAACATATTTCAAAACAACCATCCAATTTAGTTGAACACATAGCTTTCAAATATTAAGCTAATCTTCTGAGTGGCTATATCAGTCCACAAAAACAATTTGTCTTCAGTCCTTAGACACAGCCCTACTTATTGGCTGGAAACACTTCCTTCGAATTTAAAATACTCTTCCATTGCTCTTGTCAATTTTTAACACTTGTGTTCATAAAAAATGGCTAGCTGGCTATTCTTGTCCTCCAGTTTTATCTTAATTTCCCCCCACAGGTTCTAGTTTTCATCTTTTAATTACCCTTAATTAGAGAAAATCAGTTTCCACTGACTTAGTAGATATCTGCCAAGCTGTTGAAAATGACACATTGTACTTTCCCCGTATTGGATTTGGCGGGATCGAAGTTATGATGCTCTACTTTGTGGACTGTTGTGTAAAATTGGAGGTTACTGTGTGTCATTATGTTTGCCCTCATTCATCCTATCTCTTCCGGTATGTGGATCCTGAGGGGGAAGCATCATGAATACACTTTAGGAACATCATCGTTGTCCATGTGCTTATTTGTGTGTCTGGTGGGGAGGTGATGGAGAAGAATGTCTCCATGGTGAAGCTAAGAAAGCAGCATTGATCTGGAATGACGCCCAGGTGCCAGACCCTCAAAGTGGGACAGATTCCAAGGTGAGTGCTGAACTGAATTGTAAGGGTTGGTCATGGTTATGACTAAACAAACCAAACCCACACCCGTTGCCGTCGAGTCAATTCTGACTCATAGCGACCCTATAGGACAAAGTAGAACTGCCCCATAGGGCTTCCAAGGAGCCCCTGGTGGATTCGAACTGCCGACGTTTTGGTTAGCAGCCATAGCTCTTAACCACTAACGCCACCACCAGAGTTTCCGGTTATGACTAAGTGGCTGGGAAAGGAGAATGGGCCAGGAACGCGCACATTGAGCATGCCGAGCCTCCCTCCAGGAATAAGCAAGGTCGGAGATAGACCTGAAGAAGGCCTGCATGTTTGAGGCTAAGCAAAGTTGGGGTTAAGTCATTTGTTTTTCTCCTCCTTTATTCCTCTCAGGTTTCTTTACACCCTTTCTAAAATTCAGAAGTCTAAACAGGCCCTGGAATGGGGAGAAGGACATGGTGACCAATGTTCCTGGACCACTGGGTGCTCTTTCCCCTTTCGCTGCTGCTTCAGCATCCATCTCCCATTCCTCTCCTCTCAGGCATATCCCTACTGCCAGCCTCTCTGTGGTCTAAGGATTGTTTACAAAGTTGGACTGTACTTATGGTTGTGGACAGTTGCCATCAAGTCGGCTCTGACTCATGGCAACCTTATATATAACAGAACAAAACACTGCCTACACACGCACCATCTTCATAATTGTATGTCTGAGTCCATTGTTGTGGGTTTATGAAAGCCACCCCACCACATAAGGAAGACCTTATGGTTAAATAACTAAGAGGTCAAACAACTAAGAGGTAGTCCCTCTAGAGGTCAGAATTATTTTGAGTATGAAAATATCAAGCTCTGACACCACTAGGAAAGTTACTGCTTAATGTTGAGTATTGATGAACTAAAAACAGAACCATTTTCTTGAGTTAAAACCCTGTATTATGGTTTCATTATTTGTAATAATTTTAATAACACGGCTACAGATAGTAAGCGTATTTTTTGTCAGGCAAAGGTAAAAACAGCATGAAATTTTTAGGATCTGTAGTTGCCTTGCTTAGAGAGTAGATATAGGGAAAAGTGGTGGGAAAGCCAAAAAGTGGCATGTTCCCATATTTCTCACAATTTTGGATATAAAAGAAGCAATTTTCTTCTCTCCTAATCAGCAAAGTTTATAACTTATTTAACTTATTTCTGGATCCCTAAGTCATTTGTTTATAGAGTCCCTAGGTGGCATAAGTGATAACTCTTATTTAAGAGTGATCACTGCTATTTAAGCTCTTGACTACTAGCTGAAAGGCTGGTGGTTCAAATCCACTCGAAGGTGTCTCAGAACGCAAGCCTGGTAATCTACTTCCAAAAGGTCACAGCCTTGAAAACCCTATGGAGCAGTTCTACTCTGTACACGTGGGGTCACCGGGAGTCAGAATCGACTCGATAGCAACTAACAACAGCAGCAAAAAAGCCATTTGTTTAGCCTTATAGATTGGCTGGTTAGCAGTTATAATAAAGCTTCTCAGCAGTTTTTTTTCTACCAGAGTGTTTAAGTAACCCAAGTAGTTGAAGGGGGGAAATGGAATAGCTTCATCTCTCAGTGATTAGGAGGAATGCTAAGGTCATGGCTGTAATTACCTGGCCCACGAGTGTGTACATCCTGGCAACTTCAGGCCACATGACAGAGCTCAGCTAAAGTCCAGCAGTCCACAGACTAGTCCACAGTCCAGAGGTAGCTTTCCATTAAATAAATGCTTGTAAGAAATATGAACCAGGCTAAAGCAAAGATTTAGGAACAGAAAGAAAGCTTGAACGGCATTACTGCAAAATTCCCTAAAATCAGACTTGCAGCCCCTGTTCAGCTTCTCTTTGGAGTGGAAAACACTTCCAGTTTCTTCCTGAGAAGCACAAGCAATTGAATGAGTACTATATTCCGACAATTTCCTGAATGATTCCATCCAAAGTTATGGGACAAGGCTGTATGATTAATTTATATGTGTTTGGATATTTTATGCGTGTGTGTAACTTTGTCACTTTTCTTTCCCAAACCAAAAATCCCCCCATCCATTACCGTTTTAGCCCAATGTCCACAGGAGAACGGAATGCATCATTTGTCAGGCCAAGTAAAATGCCTCCTCTCTGTCTTTGTTCTTCTCTATTTCTTTCTTCCTCCCACACTTTAGTTCACCAACTTATAGTGACTGAAATCATTCTGGGTGAATAATGCTGGACCACGCTGAAAATTTGTGGCTGAGAGCTGGACCTCGTCATCGCCACGCACTTTGTCACTGAGACAGGGTAACCCATGGTTACTGAGCTCGGCTCAGTTGAGGGCTAGAGAGCCTCCCCTCCCCACTGCATTATAAAGAGATCCAGCCAAGGGACCCTACCAGCTTCTAGCTCTCAGCCTAGACGACAGTGTGAGAAAGAAACCCCTAGACATCAGGAGCAGAGTACACCAGCTGCAGAGGCAAGGCCAGCATGTCGTCTACCTTCAAACTTCAGTGTCACTTCATTCTGATCCTCCTGATGGCCCTAAGAGGGGAGAGTCGGCACCTGGAGGTGAGCCGGCACCTGGAGGTGAGCCATCCCTACACTGACTCTTCACATCTTCCTTGCATAAGTGTCCTGCCTTGGGCAATGGGTTGGCTGCCTCTGCTTGATCTCTTTTCTCAGCCTTTATTGGTCTTAGCTGTTTCTTCCCTGTCTGCTGGCCGCCTAGTTCCTCTGGTTTCCCCTAGACTGGTCTTCCTCGCTGTCTCCGAGCACACCCACTGCCAGCCTTCCTCTGGCAGCTGGATATCCTGGCCTGACGGAAAGGATCTAAGCCCTCCCGGTCTTCTCCTGACCCGGGGAGACCTCGATCCCTTCTCTTTAGTGTTTTTTCCTGCGGGGCAGGGAGGGTGCCGCGCCCCTGGGTCCCTTTCTTTCCCACTCCTTGAACTTTTCCGGAGTGACCCGTATTCTTTTCCAGCTGCGAGAAAGAGCCGACCACGACCCTTTCCTGCGCTTCAGCGCCAACCTGAAGCGGGAGCCGGCGGAGGAACAGCTGTACCGCCGAGCTCTGCGTGAGTCTCTGGCCGCCCGGCTCGAGTCCGCCGGCGGGAGGAAGGCGGGGAGGTTGGGGCAATGCACGGAGACCGGGAGGCTCGGGGCACCGCGGGAAAGGGAGGGTCAGCACCGCCAGGGGCGCGACTGCCCTGGCTAATGATCTGTCCGCGGAGACGCGCCCGGGGAGAGATGGAGTGATGTGCCCCAGGCTGGGAGTTGGGGCGCAGGGCACTGCAGAGCCAGGACATAGGGCGCGCGGTGGCTGCAAACCCAAACCTGCTGGCCCCGCTGCCCTCCCCCCAGGGTGCCTGGACATGGTGAGCCTCCAGGGCCAGTTTACCTTCACCGCCAACCGGCCGCAGCTGCACTGCGCCGCCTTCTTCATTGGCGAGCCGGAGGAGTTCATCACTATCCACTACGACCTGGTCTCCATCGACTGTCAGGGCGGGGACTTCCTGAAGGTGAGGCGCGCCCGCCGCGCAGCCCCAGCTGGGGGGACACGGAAGGGTGCGATGCCCTGGGGTGCTGCGCCCAGCGTGGGGCTGCGGAGTGTGGGGCGTGAGTGGTAACTCTTAATTAAACACTCCGCCAGCGCCCGAGTCGGAGAGGCGCGCTCGGGCCGCTCACAGCCCCAACACCCCGTCCCACATCCCGCAGGGTCGGGTGCTTCGGAATGTGCGGGGGTTAAAATGCGCGGGGGTTTAAATGCGCATCTGTGCGCCCTCAAGGCCGCGGGCGCTTCCAAATAACTTGGACTCGCGGTACGAAACGCTGTGGTGCCACTTAGAGCGCACGAAAAACATAAACAACAACAAAACGAACACCCAACTGGAACTGGCTCTCCGAAGCGGGCCGGTCCTGGGTAGAAGCCAGACACACCTGTCTGAGGTCTTGCCTGCCTCTTTCCTACTAGGCCCTCTCTCGGCGGAGCTGTTCCAGATTCACGGTCTGTTTTCAGTGTCAGGTTGGCTAGGTTTTGGAGCAGTAGAGCACTGGCTGCTGAGAGAGAAACTAATTTGAGTCAGGTGGGAAGGGATGACAAGGCCCCCAACCTCACAATATCCGCACTTGAACTTCCAGTCATTCTCCATAAATCTAACAGGTCAGCTTAGGATGGCTGGTGGAGTTCTATTGCCCAATTAAAAATAATCACGATTAAAACCTCCGATGTGAAATTATTTTGGAACCTGTCAATTAGAACCGGACTGGTCTGGTGAAGTAATTTGTCATTGGGTTGTTGGTAATTTTGCTCATATGGACTAGGATGGACTCATTAAACTGAGATCCTGCCCGCCTGTGGTGATTTTGAGAGTAAAGTCCACCCTTTGTCCAACTGCAACCGTTAACGAGGAAAAAAGTCTTAAGTGGCTTACCAGCCTTCATTGTCTTGAGTGTTGAAGCAGTTATCGATATTTTAAAGTAACATGTGATGATAGTTTAAAATGAGGAAAATGGGTATATAGGTATTAGCAAGTAAAGTTGCTGCCTCAGCTTTTTCTTTCGCTATTTTTGAGGTATTTTGTGGTTCTCATTTCAGTGAGTAAACACAGGAGTGAAACTTAAATCATGTTTTTGTGGCATTCTTCTGAAGCTGGGACGGAGAAAATGTGAGCAAGACAAAAACGTATAAAATACAGTAAGTCCCCGGGTTACGAACGACGAACTTACTTACACTTTAACATTATGTAAATTTGCCCTCATTTTGAAATAATTGACCCAACCCCTCCTTGCAACAAATTCTTCATCACAATCACCTTCACTTGCTGCACATGCAGCTTTTAAATCATCGAAAAATTGAAAATGATTTCGAGCCTTTTCTTGCACTAAAGAACCGTATGCACCTGTTCTGATTTACCTGCAGTTTTTAATTTAAAGACACGCTAGGAGCAGATGTCATTCGTAACCCGGGGACTGCCTGTGTAATAGTTTACTTTTATTTAAAGCTATATACACTTTAAGGTGTATAAAGGAAAAAAATAACATATTACTTGCAAAACAATCTTCACAGTCAAGATATATACAACTAAGAAGCAAGCAGGCAGGGGGAGTGTAGGTGTCAATTCCTCACTTATGACTGAAGATCCATTGCTAGATAACTCCCCTTGCCCCCCTTTCAACACACCCATGATATCAGCAGCTGATGGAAGTGATCGTTTGTTTTTGTATTTTTTGTTGGAAGGTATTTGATGGTTGGATTCTCAAGGGGGAGAAGTTCCCCAGTTCCCAGGATCATCCTCTCCCCACAGCTGAGCGGTACATAGATTTCTGTGAGAGTAGTCTCAGCCGAAGGAGCATCAGATCCTCCCAGAACGTGGCCATGATCTTCTTCCGAGTCCAGGAACCAGGAAATGGATTCACATTAACCGTAAAGACCAAGCCTAACCTCTTTCGTAAGTGGGCCCTCTGCCTTCTCAGTTGAAAAGCAAGATTTTAAGGGTCAAACCTGCTTAATATCATTGCACAGATTAAGAAATTTGAACTGAGCCATGATTTTAATGATAATTCTTTGGTAATTAGAAAATGACCTAAAAGATATTTTTCTATTAATCATCATGCAAATCAAATCACAGTTTTAAATTTATCCCCAGGCTAAGAAGTGTACTATATTATGGCAGCTAAAATTCTGTTTTTTCCCCAAAGTCTTGTTTTGATCTCCTAAGGCACTACAGTGCATTCAGTGACAAACTAAGCTCTCCAAGTCATTCCATTTATCCGGGCTAAGCTGAGGGATCAGATATGAAGTAACAATGCTAGGGATATTTCGGCAAAGACTGAAAGACTGCTTGTCTGGGATGTGGTACACAGACTTCATTCTCTGGACAGAGGGTTGGACCAGAGGACCTCATCACTGCCTTCTGATCCTGAGCCTATCACTCTAATTTAGCTTATTTCTGACAAAGAAGAACATAGATGATTCTGTAAAACTGAACAGCCTAGGCCTAAAGCACATTTTCTTAATCAAATGAGTTTGTTCATCTGCTTATTTTCTTCTCATCAAGACAAAATTCCTTTTAAAAAAAAGTTAAAACATATTCATCATAGGTTGTATAATGTTAATATTAACAATATTATGATATTATGTGGTTGAAGAACGGAGCCTAATCTACCAAAGAAGAATGTAATGACTAATCTTCAGATTTTTATTTAAAAAAAAAAAAAGAATTTTTAAAAGAAGCCTCCCAAAAAAGGCTATTTCAGAGAATTGGAGCAAAATAATCCTAGGGGAGAGAATGAATTGTTTCTCTTATATTTTGTTTGGTTAAAATTCAGAAAGCTTCTATAATCATCAAGAACTTTTCCTTCTTCTTGAAATTATGTGTAATTAAAAATATAGGAAGTAAGAGGCGCTTCTGATTAATCAGAAAATGTATGTCCTTATAATTGGCAAAAAATGTGAGCTTCTAGTTTCATAGCTAGAGGAATCATACTGTAAGTCTAGGTTTGAGACATAAAACAAATTTCAGAAATCCTTGGGAGTAAATTAAATATTAAAAGTTTACCTTTCAGTCAACTTATCGTTTAATAAATATTTTTCTGTCAGACCTAAGCCTGCTGTCTTTCTAATCTTCCTCAGCCTATTTTGTGACTGTTTTATTATTTATTTATGTATTATGTTATTTTTAAAACTAACATTACAGCTCTTGATTCAGTGAAGGAAGGCTTCAGCCAGACAGCTTCTGAGTTCTGGCTTCAGCTTTAGGCCTCAGTTCTTTCAGTCCCCCGTGTGGACCTGGACCCTACTTAAATGAAGTGTTCCTAGATCTACTTCCAGATAATATTGTGTTTGCTTCTTGATTTATATTTTGTCATTGTTATAAACAAGGTAACCCCCTGAGATTACAAGCCTCCTTGTAAATCCAAGCCTCCCGACAATGTCCATGTCATTGATGATTTTTATTCCCCAACTCTTTGTCTTCAAATTGCCTTTGTGATATATACTGTCTTCCTGGGCACAGGTCCTAGGCCAATAATAAGGAGCCTAGAATAAGGATAGAATGAGTTTCTATAAATAAAAACCTAGCACACCAAGTAATGCAAATGTGGTATATTTTTGTTTTTTTGTTTTCCCCTACAAAGCCTGTAATGTCATCTCCCAGACCCCAAATGGAAGGTTTACCCTGGTAGTTCCACATCAGCATCGCAACTGCAGCTTCTCCGTCATTTATCCTGTGGCGATAAAAATATCTGATCTCACCCTGGGACACTTAAATGGCCTTCAGTTAAAGGTGAGTTACTTACTTGCTTCTGAATCATTTCCTAAGACTCGGCTATATCAGAGCAAAAGCAATCATACACAATAAACCAGGACATTAGCAGACTGGATCAGTTGTGTTAATCAACCAGCCCACCTCTGATTGGCTATTAAATCTCACAAGTACTTGCCTTCCCTGCTCTTAACCAACTGCCGCCCGGCCCCTTCTATTTCAGTTAGGGTGCACGTCACGTACTCAGGTGCCCCGTCTGACTATCTGAATACGCTTCTTGTGATGCAAAATGTTTTCAACTGGCGAAGTTGTGGTATATAATTACAATTGAATTCTCTTGTGCCTGCCTCTTACAAAAATTCTCTCCTAGCGGAACCTAGTATGAGTCATCTACACAGCTGCTTTTCTGACTGTTGGAATTTTCTATTGACGTGAAGGAAGTATCTCATTGACAGAACTGTGCCATGGAGGAATGCTAAGTGTAGCATAAAATACGGAACTGGATTTTTATATTGCAAAATACAGTAAAGTTTTCAGAAGTATTTTTGCATTCCATTTAATTCACTACATTTTGCATCAAAAATGTTAGCTGAGGATCCCCATCAACGTGTTCTCCCATGACCTTAACATTAACACTGAGCCTAACCACATTTACTTGCCCTGTTAGCTTCTTCCCTCTAAGTCTTCCTCACTGCCTTTTGCTTTCTCAGAAGCCTAGGCACTTGTTAACATCAAAGACAGTTATGGCTCCTACTCAGACAGAATTCAGTGAAAACCAAATGAATTGGACCCGGACTGAGAAAAGGAATATATCTGTTCTCTTTAAAGCCTGAATTCATGGGCCAGTGTCTGTCCTTTTTGTTGGGCCTTAGTGGAAGAATAACCCTTTGGTAAGGACCAGGGGTAAACAGGTATCTTCAGTACAGCCGTATTGGCTTGATATTGTTTGTATGTCATTTTTGATGTATAATACAGAAGATGTTCCCATGTGATAGCAGATTGGGAGATCTGTGTTTTAAGTTATTCTTCACTACGGCAAGTAACCTTGGTATTATTCCTTTTATGAATTTAGCATCTATAGTGTTCTAGTATTCCTTTATAAAATATTTTTAAGTGCTTACCATGTGCAAGGAGCCCTGGTGGCATAGTGGTTAAGAGCTTGGCTGTTAACCAAAAGGTTGGCAGTTCAAATCCACCAGCTGCTCCTTGGTAACCCCATGGGGCAGTTCTACTCTGTCCTATAGAGTCGCTATGAGTTGGAAACGACTCAATGGCACCTAACGACAACAACAACAACCATGTGCAAGGCACTATTCTAGATACTGGAAATTAGCAATGAACAAACAAGTCCACTTATTTGGAACCTACATTCTGGGGGGAGGAGATGGCAAAATGATACGGTATTTCAAATAGCAGTAAGTGCTATACAGACAACAAGAAGAGTGGTGTGATAGACATTGATTAGGGATGAGGGAGTAGAGGGAGAGGTGGCGAGCTACTTGAGATGTCTGAGAAGGAGACATTTAAAGTGAGATCTGAGCAATAGGCAAGAAGGACCCAGAGCCATGAGAAGAGCAGGAAACGGGGGAACAGTAGTGCATAGGCTCAGACGCAGCAATGGGCTTGCTGTGTTCCAGAAATGGAGAGAAGGCAGAGGTAGAGAGGGAGTGGTATGAGATAGCAGCACCAGGGAGATGGACAGGGCCAGGTCATAGAGACTGCAGACCGTATTAAGGAGTTTGAGTTTATTCTAAGAGCAGTGGGAAACCACTGAAGGGGCTTAGGCGGGGAGGCAACAGGGTCTCATTTACACTGCAGTGTCATTCTGGGCTCCCACGTGGTAAATGGGCCATGGGGCAAGAGTGGTCAAGGAGTCCATTTAGGAGGCCAGTGTCATAGTCTAGGCAAGAGATGATAGTGGCATATTCCAGGGAGGTAAGAACCTCCACAAAGAAATCCCAGGGATCACTGTTGTGGAACTGAACCTCAGAGAGATCCCTATACAACTCTTGCAGCATGTATGAGAACAGCTGAGAGGTTTAGGAAGCAGAGAAAAAAGTCATTGTATGCGAAGGAATAAGTTCTTCCAACTTCCTTGCTTCTTTGTTTTGTTCTCCTCGTTTTAGCTACTACTTCTTCCCAACATCCTTATTTCCCGTTTTTCTCCACCAAGTCTGCCTCTTTCCCTTCACCACCTGCTGAAATTTGGAACCTATAGAGCCAAGTGAAAAGTTTAGTCTTAAGAGGTATTCCTCCTGAATATTATCTACTCGAGGGAAAGGCGATTAAGTTTTTTTTTTTTCCTTCACCCCTAAATAACTTATTAAGCTCTCCATATGAGAACATGAAATCTTGTATACACTGGGGCTAATTAAACCTCTATTTATTCGTTTGATGAAATTACATGAAAAGCACCTAAGCATAGATGCAGAACATGGTAGACCCTTTAATTTAAAAATATACATTCCCACCTGCCTGCCTTCATTGGCCAAACAGTTGCCATTATAGTATTTTCTAATTTGTTGTTTCGTTATGATTGCATTTCAGTATTCTAAATGTTCGAATGTGTGTGTTTGTGTATGCATGTGTGTGCTTAAAGTTTTCTATCTTAGATTTTGGTTCCTACATGTCAGGGACTATCTGGTTAACTTCTGAGCACCTTGCCACACGCCATTGAATCTCTTAATGAGTATGCTTCAGTGGACAAGGGGATTCCAGGCAGGACTGGCTACATAATTTGTGGGGCAGAGTGCAAAATGAAAGCACAGGGCCGCTTAGTTAAAAAATTAAGATGAGAGACCCAAAGTGCAACATTTGGGACGGAGAGTGATTGCTTTGTTTTTGTGGGAAAGTGAGGCACAAGGAATTGCTATGGATGAGACAACGTGGGAAGATGAAGAGAAGCAGAAAAAGGTGGTTACAGCAGATCACAATGTCTTAGAATCGATTCTTCCTTTGAGTAGCTTGAAATCAATTTGTTTTAGTTGACAAAGACCATGGAAACTCTGGCTTACTTAGGCCCCAAATTAGGGTTTTCTTCTCTCTTCAATATTCCCATACTAATCTAAATTCTTACCAGTAGAAATAGTGTCTCCTAACTAATAGCAGAAAACGTCCTTTGTAAAGAAGAGGAAAAGAGGTGAGTTGAAGGAAAAACTGATGTGAAACTGTTATTTATAAAACGCAGATATTTGACTTCCTTTAACCTTGACTGCATGCATTAAGAATTCAAATAATTCAGTATGTATGCCCAAATGATTTGAAAAGCAAAGCATTTTCAGGCTCAATTTTCCTATGCCTTATATGGAGTTTACAGACTCCCATTCCATCATTCCAGTTCTCGAACTTAAAAAAAGAAAACATGCACACATATTTAAAGAAAATGATTACTCAATCGATTTAGGAAAGCAATTCTTATGACTTTTCTTTTTCCTTCTAAATGTCTTAATTTCCAGGATCCTGGATGAGAAATTAAATGGTACTGGCAGGCTGTCTGGGGCTGATTGAGAGAATTCACTAAGCCTGTCATAGGTTGAATGATTTGACTTTCATAACTGATTTAAGTCTTTTTCTGCTGCTTTATTCTTTCAGAAATCCTCAGCAGGCTGTGGGGGAGTAGGAGACTTTGTGGAGCTGCTGGGAGGAAATGGGTTGGACCCTTCCAAGATGATGCCTCTAGCTGAGCTCTGCTACCCCTTTCATGGCCCTGGTGAGATGTTTCTTTGATTATTTGTGTGCCTATCAAAATTATTTATTTAAATTAAACGTCGTAAATTTTTTATAAATTGAAAAGTGAGTCCACCGAAAAACTTCAATTTGTGCATTGAGCCAATGTGAAGATTTTACGTTTGAGCCTATATCCTACGCACGTAAGCATAGACTCCATTACCAGAACATCTGACACTGGGAGAGGAACCTATGAGTAATAAAGATGTATATTCAAGGTTGGCCCTAAGTAAAACTATGAAAAAGACAAAGCTTTCCTATTCTATGCCCTTTCTACCTTCTTGGGGATCCCTGCCTTTATCCTCTAGAAATTAAACATTTTGTCTGACAAATGTAAAGCTTATGTAGCTATATCAATTAGCAGTAGTATAATAATGAAGTAATATCTAAAGTTTTCCATATATGTGTATATATGTGTGTGTGTGTGTGTGTACAAAACAAAGAGGTAAACTTCATTAGAAGTTCTCAGAACTGCTGAATCTCCTCTGCAATTTAGAGGTAAATTCTAAAGTCTAAAAGTGGTCACCGGTAATAAAAGACTGGTTTAGAGGACTGCATGCCAAACAGAACCACATCGTCTTTGTCAAGGGCCAGGGAACATGCTCCATTGGATTATGCTCAGGTGGGGTGAGGGTGGGTGGGAATTACTGATCACTGACCCACTGGCGATCAAACAGATTAATGAAGTCCAAAGCAAGAGGGCGAGGATTACATAAAACATTTCTACAAAAGTCGGTTCCCATTTCTTCACTTCAGATGCAGGAATTTTAGATTATTTTTAAAGAGACAAAAGTAAAACAGAAGAGAAAGAGAAAGAACAACAATCTCTAATCGCATAGTTAATTCTTACTTCCTACCATAGCCCTCTTTCTCTCCTGTCTCCACAGATCGTTAACAAGCTAGACAACCAAGCTACAAATCAGAAAGTGTACAGCACACATAGGTCTTTCTGTTAACTGTTCCCTGTTTTAATACCAGATTTGCCCACCAGTATTTTGTCTCTTTGAGCTAATGCTGGGAACTTAATAAATGAAACATCTCTGAAATAGGATTAATATACGCTGGTAAGTGCTGAGACATGATATGTACCCCCTCTCCCCATATACCTGTATAAAGTTTCAGTTGGGTTAAGTCCTCAGTTGCTAACTGAAAGGTTGGTGGTTCGAGTTCATCCAGAGGCACCTCAGAAGAAAGGTCTGTCAACCTACTTCTAAAAAATCAGCCAGTGAAAACCCTATGGAGCACAGTTCTGCTCTGACACAAATGAGGTCTCCATGAGTTGGAATTGACTTGATAGTAACTGGCTTTTTACTGGTTGGGCTCAAGGCAAACTTTCCTATCAAGGTAAAACCCCACTCTGCTAAAACTAGAGAATTATTTTATGCTAATTTACATTTGAGCCTTGGCTTAAACTGTCAGCGCAGGTGGTCTCTCTAGCTTCTGCATGCGCTATCTGAGGCACTAAATCGCATCCATGCTGATGATTGGAGAGTACCTATAAGGAGATGCATTTTAACTGGGTAAAAAGGTAAGTTTAGGACTAAGGACCACTCATGCCTTAAAATTTAGATAATTGAAGCCGGAGTAATTTTTCTGCTTGGATTGTACGACTCGAATTAGGTAAAATTGTGAGACTGAGGCCAACAAACCACTTTGGACTAAATTATCTAGATAATTGAAGCTGGAACAATTTTGAGGCTTGAATTATATGACTCATTGCTTCATTTTAAACTTCACTATGTTTTTGATGAGCCCCTCCTAAATTGTTCAGACAGTGAAGAACTATTAGGAACCCTGCCCTTTAAATTGGATTTTCTTAGGAAGCTTGTCAAAATACTTTGAAATAAAATGCACAGTAACTAAAGGAAATAAGGCATGTTAAATAGATTAAAGTTCAGAGTAAGATCAGAAAAAGAATGACCTTCCAGATCATTTAAAGAAAAATACATTTGGTACATTTGGACCTCCTGGTAGAAGTTTAACCTGGACTCCCTGGTGTTTATAGTAAAATAATAATTACAGGGTTTATAGTTATAATATCCGCAAGTTGACTTTTACCTCGATAACTCTGCCTGTGTTACTTCATTTAAACCGAAGTATGTATTTGTGAGGTACTTGTTATACGATGGCAATGCTAGTGTTTCTCAAATTTTAGGCCTTATAAAGACAATGTGAGGGAAAAAAAAAAAGACTGTGAAAAATTAAAACAGAAGAAAGGAATATTGTGGGGCAGATAAGGTTTGCTTCAGGAACCAACTTGAGGCCAAAGAAATAAAATCAAAGTAATTTTTAATAAAAATAAAATGAACTTCAATATATAACTGTTCAAGCACGTCTGTACTAGGAGATATATATGAGTTATCAGCGTCTTATTCAGGTAATGAATAAGGTTGGGTTAAGAGAATTAAGGAGATAAGAAGCCATGCCATATGAGAAGTATAGAAAAAAATGAGAGAGAAGAAGTACCGGTGGACAATAGGACAAAAACTAGTATATTCAGTCTATATTAAAACCATGCAAAATATGTTTTTTGTTTATATGTTTATTGTGTAACAGAGTTATTATCTAGACTCAGAAAACAAACAGTATTTTTGTTTGTTTGCTTTGCCTGCATAGATGTCCAGAGACATTCCCTCCTCTAGCCCTTGCCCACTAAATGCCAGTTGCATGCCCAGACATTATTACCAAAAACGACACCTGCAGATTTCCAACCTGTCCCTACAGGGCAGTACTGCCCCCTGAGAACCCTCAACTAGAACGAAGGTGCAGGATTCACAGACTGTTGCCTTCATCTGTCTTTACCTACAAAGTCTTGCAGGTAGAAAAATAAGGAAAAGGCCAGGAGGTATCTTCTCCCGTTTCCAGCCAGTTTTATTTAGTTAACAGTATTCCTGGACATGAGAGAGAAAGGCTGAGTTCAATTTCACTATTCTATATTAATTATCTATTATACTAAAAATGGGAGACCCTAGGTGGTTCAAGAGAAGGACATCATGCTTGCTAAAGTACAGGGTCAGCGAAAAAGAGGAAGACCCTCAATGAGATGGATTGACACAGTGGCTGCAACAATGGGCTCAAGCATAACAACGATTGTGAGGATGGCACAGGACCGGGCAGTGTTTCGTTCTGTGGTGTATAGGGTCGCCATGAGTCGGAACTGACTTAATGGCACCTAACAACAACAACAGGTGGTGCTAACAGTTAATGTGTTCAGCTGCTAACTGAAAGGTTGGAGGTCCAGGTCCACCCAGAGGCACCTCAGAAGAAAGGCCTGGTGATCTACTTCTGAAAAGTCAGCCACTGAACACCCTATGGAGCACAGTTCTACTCTGACATATGTGGAGTTGCTATGAGTAAGAATTGACGTGATGGTAACTGGTTTGAGTACATGAGTATAAGATATGCTCCCTTGCTTTCATCGTGCTTAAGTTATGCTGGTGAACAGAAATGATTTGGCTGTGTGGTTTCTAACCTTCTGGGAAACTTTTTTTTCCCCCCATCAATTATAGCCCAAATGAAAATTGGCTGTGACAACACTGTGGTGCGCATGGTCTCCAGTGGAAAACACACAAATCGTGTGACATTTGAGTATCGTCAGCTGGAACCGTATGAACTGGAAAACCCAAATGGGAACAGTATCAGGGAATTATGTTTGTCTCATCTTTGAATAATCAACCCAATGCTGCTGGTTACATGGTGATTATATATGGTTTTGACGACCAGCTTACTACAAGCTCATATCAGTCAGTATTCCCAGCCTTGAGCACATACCACATACACATGACTGTGTTAATTTTTGTACCTTGCTTCTGTTTCAGTTGTAATATATAAATGATCAAATGGCAGAAAATAAGCACCTATTTGGTAGAAAATAGTATTGAATGGAAATATTTGCAATTCTTTGGTGTGCTACAAGCCTGAACTAGTAAGATAAGGGCAAAGCAATGTGCAATATAAATACTGTATCTCAAGGGAAAATACCACAAAGAAAGAAAAATGGTGGCCCTCATATAAATTTTGTAACAGAAAAAATTCAAAGTCTGGTGTTTGCTAAAGTAGTGACATCTGTTTGTTTTCCGTTTATTGTTCTAGATGATAGTTGTGTCTATTATTGATTTCTAATAACTTGTTTTTAACAAAATTTGTAGCATGGAGACAATTTCCATCCACAAATACAAATAAATATACTCAGAATGTTGATACCTTGACATTGTACTTTATTTCCTTTCCTAAGGAGTTCCTCATTATCATCAGAAAATAGTATTGTCATGTGGTGCAGAACCAAATGCTGGACTAACCCGTTTTGGACTTCTTAGAGCTAGTAGAACTCTCGATGATTGAACTACAATCATTTAGAACAGATGACAGAATTGGTTACAAGAGAGTGGAGGAGTGGGGAGGGGAAATCACTAACTAGAGAGCAGACAAGTTAACTTTGGTAAAGGGAAAGACAACACACAATATAGGGGAAGTCAGCATAACTTGACCAAGGCAAAGCCATAGAAGCTTCCTAGAAACATCCAAGCACCTTGAGGGACCAACTTCCTGGGGCTGAGGGCTGGGGACCATGGTCTCAGGGGACATCTAGGTCAAATGGCATAATATAGTTCATAAAGAAAATGTTCTACATTCTGCTTTAGTGAGTAGCATCTGGGGTTTTAAAAGCTTAGGAGTGGCCATCTAAGATACATCTATTAGTCCCATCATGTTTGGAGCAAAGGAGAATGAAGAAAGCCAAAAATACAAGGAAAATATTAGTCCAAAGTAGTAATAGGCCACATGAACCACAGCTTCAACCAGCCTGAGCCCACAAGAATTAGATGGTGCCTGGCTACCACCACCGAACACTCTGGCAAGAACCACAATAGAGGGTCCTGGACATAGCGGGAGAAAAACGTGGAACAAAATTCAAATTCACACACAAAAAAGACCAGACTTATTTGAAATTCGAGGAACCGCCTAGATTATGGCCCACAGACACTCTGCTAACTCAGAACTGATGCCACTCCCGAAGTCCAACTTTCAGTCAAAGATTAGACAGGCGTATAAAACAATAACACTTCTGAGGAACGTGCTGCTTAGTTCAATCAAGTATACGAAACCAAATGGGCAACAGCTGTCTAAACGCAAAGACGAGAAGTCAGGAAGTGACAAGAAAACTGGACGAAACGGACATGGAGAACCCAGGATGGAAAGGGAAAGAGGGAGAGTGTTGACATATTGCGGGGATTGAAACCAATGTTATAAAACAATTTATGTATAAATTTATATATGTATATATATTTTTTTATTGTACTTCAGGTGAAGGTTTACAGAACAAACAGTTTCTCATTAAACAGTAGTACACATATTGTTTTATGACATTGGTTAACAACCCCATGACGTGTCAACCCTCTCCCTTCTCGAACTTTTTTTTTTTTTTTTGGTGAAAATATACATAGCCAAAGATACACCATTTCAAAAATTTCTACATGCACAATTCAGTGACATCGATTATGTTCTTCCAGTTGTGCTGCTATTCTCACTTCAGATGAAGGTTTGCAGAACAAAATAATTTCTCATTGAACAGTACACGTTGCCCTATGCCAATGGTTAACAACCCCACTACAAGTCAACACTGTCCTTACTCAACCTTGGGTTCCCTATCACCAGCTTTCCTGTCCCCTTCTGCCTTTTAGTCCTTGTCCCTGGACTGCTGTGCCTCATTAGTCCCGTTTTGTTTTATTGGGGTGTCCAATCCCTCGCTGAACGGTGAACCTCGAAGTGACTTCACCACTGAGCTAAAAGGGTGTCTGGGAGCCACTCTGGGGGTTTCTCCAGTCTCTTTCAGGCCACTAAATCTGGTCTTTTTTGTGTGTGTTAGGATTTTGTTCTACATCCTTCTCCAGATCTGTCCAGAACCCTGTTGTGATCCTGGTCAGAGCAGTCAGTGGTGGTAGCCGGGCACCGTCTAGCTGTGCTGGACTCAGTCTGGTGGAGGCTTGGTAGCTGTGGTCCATTAGTCCTTTGGACTAATCTTTTCCTTGTATCCTGTTCTCTTCATTCTCCCTTGCTCCTGAAGGGGTGAGACCAGTGGAGTATCTTAGATGGCCACTCACAGGCTTTTAAGACCCCAGACGCTACTCACCAAGATAGAATGTAGAGCACTGTCTTTATAAACTGTGTTATGCCAATTGAGCTAGATGTTCCCCGAGACCATGGTCCCCACAGCCCTATGCCCAGCAATTCAGTCCCTCAGGGAGTTTGGATGTGTCTATGGAGCTTCCACAACCTCTCCTTGTACAAGTTGTGCTGATTTCCCCAATGTTGTGTACTGTCTCACCCTTCACCAAAGATACCGCTTATCTATTGCCTATTTAGTATTCCCCCCCACCCCATCCCTCCCATCCCTGGTAACAAACAAAGATTGTTACTTTTTGTGTGTAAACTTTTTCATGGGTTTTTACAACAGAGGTCTCATGCAATATTTGTCCTTTTGTGATTGACTTATTTCACTCAGCATAATGCACTCCACTTTCATCCATGTTATGAGATGGTTCACAGATTCATCATTGTTCTTTCTCGTTGCATAGTACTTCATTGTGTGTATGTACCATAGTTGGTTTATCCATTCATCTGTTGATGGGCATCTACGTTGTTTCCATTGTTTTGCTATTGTGAACAATGCTGCCATGAACGTAGGCGTGCATATGTCTATTCGAGTGACGACTCTAATTTCTCTAGGATATATTCCTAGGAGTGGGATTGCTGGATCGAATGGTATGTCTATTTCTAGCTTTCAGAGGAAGCACCATATCATTTTCCAAAATGGTTGTATCATTTTGCATTCCCACCAGCAGTGCATAAGAGTTCTGATATCCCCACAGCCCCTCCAACATTTGTTATTTCCAGTGTTTTTGATTCGTGCTGGTAATGCTGGGGTGAGATGGTATCTCATTGTGGTTTTAATTTGCATTTCTCTAATGGCTAGTGATTGCAAGCATTTCCTCATGTGTCTGTTGACCACTTGAATGTCTTCTTTGGTGAAGTGTCTGCTCATTTCCTTTGCCCATTTTTTAATAGGATTATTTGTCTTTTTGTTGTAGAGGTGTTGGATTTTCTTGTAGAT